CACTTGATAATTTTTGACATTTTTTTAATAGATTTCTTCGAGGGTCTCTACTATACATGTATATATATTTTTTTATATTTTTTGTAGATTGAATTCTGGGACTTTTATTTCCCTGAATTCGCACTAAACGTGTTGTCGTCGTCAAGTTTTGTGTATGTGTGTGTTTGTGTTTGTGTGCTAGGGGAGTCGCAACGACGACAAGTCTTTATTTATTTGCGCTTAGACAGCAATTTCAATTAATTGATAAGTCACAGCAACAAGCTGCCGCCGTCGCCAAACAAGAAAGATTTCACGCAATTTACTTTAGCGATTTAATTGCCAGCGACAAATAGGGGGGAAAAATAGTATTGAAATTGGAAGGAAATTGAAGTGGAGAGTGGAAATTGAACAGCAACTTATGAGTTTGTTTTTAAATTCCAATCTAAAAACGGAAGCTAAGCACAGGAATATGGAATTAATACTTCAAATTTAAAGAATTCGATACAAAATAAAACCTAATTTTAACAACGACCTTGTCGCAGGGAAACCTTCAAACTTTTGATGAATGAAAAACTAAAAACCAATGAATCAATGGAAACAAAAATTTCTCGCTAAGCCGGCAGGAGGAAAAAAAAAAAGAACCAATTGAATCCGTGAGGAGCCAAGTGAATATGCAAAATCCACTCGCAAAACATTCAAGTGGCACTCACATGTGGAGTGTGTGTGGCTGAAAAGGGGAAGGGGAGGTGGAAGGGGAGGAAAAACAATAATTTTGACATTGATGATGATGGGGAAAAACGGCAACAGAAGCGGCAACAATAATTCTGTTTGCTGCTGCTGCTCTTGCTTTTTTCGCCGTTTTGGTTGTTGCTTTTTTTCGCACGTCTCGCAAGCAAGCTGGTGGCATGCAACAGCAGTAACAACAAAAGCAGTCACCCATGTGTGTGTGTGTGTGGCGTGCAAAAAAGTTGCAACTTACACAAAAAATAAAAAAAAAATAATAATAACAAAAACCGCACACACACCCATAATCGCCATATGTGTATGTGCGAGGTACAAGTACTTAAAACTTTTACAAGCCACTCGGTATGTTCTGCCCCAAACCACCGCCTCACCCACAACAATTGCATGCCACACTTTGGGGCACCACACCTGCACCGCCCCCCCCTGGGAGGGGTCATGAACCTAGCACACACACATTGCAAGAAAAATAAATAAATAAATTTATAATAAAAATAGAGAGAAATCCTCATTTCATCAAACTAATAATTATTTTGTTTATATTTATATGTTTCAAATATATTAAATATTATATTTATATTTTAATTCTCTTTCTTTTTAATTATTTTTTATTTTAAAATATTTTATTAGGCCTCAACATAATAATAACCTTTCTTTATTAATGAAGCTATTTGTAATAAACTTTTTGCTGGCAGAACTTCTAGAATTCTTTATATATTTATTATTAAAAATTATTTTAATATAATATTCAAATTTATTTCGCATTTAATTTAGGGTAAGACTCTTCAGAGTTTTCTTTTATCAAAGTATATCCAAAATATAACAAAATAAAGGCTTATAATTCCCAACTGCTTAAGAAACTGCTAAGAAAAAAAAGGCTTATAATTCCCAACTGCTTAAAGAAAAAGTCTTTGACAAGGTTCTTGGTGATATATTATATAAAAAAAAAGCCCATAAAATATACAACTATTTGAAATTTTCAAAATTAAAACAGAAACCCCTTTAATAATAATAATTTTCCCCCAGTGCACACATTTTTCCACAAGCCTCTACAAAACTCTGGGAAGGCAAGGCTGAAGAGATGGTGGTAGGGGCGGAGCTGCTGCAGTATGCCAGTGTTTTTATGCCCAGGGCTTGGGCCACTTGGTTTAGTTTCACACTTCAAGTCGCCAAACTGCTAATGAGCTTAAGGATATAAACCAGAACCTCCCTTCTTGAAATATATATATACATATATATATATAATTTGCATTAACTTTTTGCGGTTGTTGTTTTCCATTTGTTTTTCACTTTTTTCTGTGTTTTTTTTTGTTTTGGCCAAGTGCGAACAAGCAACAACAAGGCTGAAATGCAACTATGCATGGAGGAGTTTTGTATTTTGTAGTTGCAGTTATAGTTTTTGGGGGCGGTGTGGGCGTGGCCCAGACACCTGGCCAGACATATTCGCAACTTTCAGCACACAAAACTATTTGCAAATATTTTATTTTCATTTTTTTTGTTCGCCCATTTTCCACTTTCTATTGGTTGTTGTTGGGCAAAGTCAAATGCCACGCCCCCCCCGCGCCGCGCCAGACTGGCATTGAAAATTGTCTGAAAAGCAGGCGTTGGGTTATTTTGCTGGTTGGGTGGGTGGTAAAAAGTCAAAGGCGTTGGCCAAAGAAGCTTAGCCGAGGCGTCAGGCAATTTGTAGCTTAAAAAGATGCCAGAAACAACAAGAACAGAAGGCTAATTGAATTTTGGCCTGCTTTTACGCAATGGAATCACCATAAAGTGTGTGAAATAAAATCAAATAAACAAATGGAAGCTGGCTTATAAATATATATAAATAAAAAGGCTTCAGAAGGATTAAGAGTGTAATTTGGGGTAGCATAAAATTCACTTTTAAAGTCGACTCAAATCGAGGTTAATTAAAATTCCTAGGAATTTATAAACTATTTCAGCAGCTATTATTTATGGAATATAGCTTAGCTTATAAAAAGTATAATATAATATATAATAATACAGCTTAGCTTTCCCCTGATTGTTATTACTTTTTATAAGAATTTATTTTTATGCTTTAAAATTTCAGAAAATATATTTATATAGAATATATTTTCCTAAATTAAATTCCTAGCATAAAACCTCCTTTAATCCCTTTTTAAACTCAACCAAGACTTGTCTGCTATACGAAATATGAATTATTCAGAGTACAAATCATTCTTGGGAAGGTGTGAGAGCCACTATCGTCGACTGAGTGCATTCACAGCTGCCACATCTTGCACTCACTTGACACTCACTTCTGTCTGTGTGTGTGCGTGTGTAGAGTGAGTGTGTCTCCGTGAATACTTTCTCAAGTAGGTGTGAAGCTCAAAACGCATTTTCACGCGCCAACGCAGCTTGAATGTCAACGTTGCCATCATCGTCTACGCCGCATCACCATCACCATCATCATCATCATCATCATTCATCTCGGGGGAACCGAGAGGCTGAGAAGACTACGCCGCTGGAAAAATCCAGGGGGTGCGGAGGAGAGTCACTCAGCCAGGGGCTGCGGAACAGGGGGCGTCTCTCTGGTTCACCTACTTTCAGCTTAAACTGGGCGTGGAAGCGGTCGGTTGGGAGCGGTTAACGGGAGCTTGAGACATCGCCACACGTGCTCAAGTGGCCAAGGCTGCCGCTGCCGCTGCTGCTGCTGCTGCTGCCAGGCGACTGACTGAGAATCTCTGAATGGTTACGGATTACGGCTGGGCGACCTGACCTTCGCTTCGGAAATGCCTCAAGATTATAGCCGGAGATCTCTGCCGGCGATTGCCAGCCCCAAAAAAAAGACACATTTTGTTTTATAAAAAAAGAAAATGTTCTTGATTTTTTAAACGGAAATTTCTTTAAAAAAAAAAATACACATTTCATTCAATATAAATTTCTCTTTTCAAATTCTGTAAATAAAAATGTTTTCTCTTTTTTTTTTTTTTTGAGATTAAAACCATCATTCATTGAATATATTCCACCAATATTCATTGGAACGTTGTCCAAAACATTACAAAAAAAATAAATAATAAAAAACTTTATAGAATTTGATGCTGTTGCAGTGTTTTCACACTATGGAAATGCATTCTTTTGAAAAGCATTCAAGCCTTTTACAAAGCCAAACATATTAAACAAAATTGGCTATTGAAAATAATCCCAAAGGACGAAAGCGCTGATTTTTTGAAAATAGTTTAAAATTCCTATAGGATATTGGGTATTAATATTTGAAATGATTATTTGTTGTTTTAATAGCAATTTGTTTATATTTTTCTGGGTTAAAAAACAAACCTAATCTATTTTAAAAATTTAGAACTTGGTCTAAATTATATACAATCCAAGTCGTATGTAGAATTTATTAGATTTATTCCACACAAATCCCAATTTCAGAGGCTTAGCTTTTTAAAATTATTTATTTTTAAGTCGTAGAATATTTATTTGAAATTCCGCACCTAATAAACACATATTATTAGTGTTCATAACACCCTTGATATTATTTTTTATGTGCAAAACAACACTCACATTATCAGTGTTTCTAGCACTTTATATTATTTTTATTAAAAAAAAAAAAGCACTGTTCACTTTTTAATCTCACTTTTTTTCTGAATAAATCTAAGCTTATCACTTTGGACCTGTTAAAAATTCATTTCTATGTTTTTTATTTATTCCAGATTTGTAGTCCTCCTTAGAAATTGTATATATGTATATATTTCCAGTTTTTAAATTCTAGAACCTACGGCACTTTGTAATCCATTTAATTCCTATTTATTCACTTTTTGAACTACGAATTTTCTATAAGATCACAAATATATCTAGAATTTCGCGATTCGTAATATTTGTTCTCTATTCAAAATCCGTCAGGATCTTTTAAGACCTGGATTCTAACCATATATATTTTCAAGGTATATATTTCTAAATATATTTCACATCTCAAAATGAACCATTTTTTGGGTTAAATCGTAGGATCCTTTATTAATTTAGGAAATACTTATTTTATTCATGGTATCGTAGTAAGAATAACCCTATTTTTATTTAGGAAATACTCATTTTATTCACTCATAATATCAATAACGTATTTACTTTTCAGGGTAGATCCCAAGAGATTTTAGAATTTCATTTAAAAAAAAAAGTATCTAAAAATTAAAATTCTAAAAAACTCTGATATTATAATTTCTAAAAGTTTTCCAATCTCACCCAAGATCCCTTCAAGATCCCCGCTCTATCTATATCATTTCCCCAATATAACTATCCTCTTTCTATTCTTAGTTGAGACTCACCTGCCGCTCTTGGTGATGACCATTTCCGTGCCCAGCTTGTGAAACTTCTCCCACAGGTCCTTGCCCTCCAGCGTCACTTTCGGATCATCGACGACGCCATCGTCCTCCGGCTGTAGTGCCCGCAGCGGTCGCATCGCCGGATGCAGCTGATGGGCGACGGCCGATGCGAGCACCACGTCCTCGGCGGTGGTGTAGGCGCTGCCCAGCGGATGATGGGCGTGCGGATGGGCGGCCGGATGATGCGGCGGAAATCGGAGTCCCGCCCCGGGATACAAGCCGGGATGTGGACCAGCTGGGCTGCCGGCTAAAGCGGCCAGTGCCGCTGCTGGGAAATACGGTGGCGGTGGCGGCGGCTGTTGCTGTTGCTGGAGATGCTGCTGCTGCTGAGGTGGCGGCGGTGGAGCAACTGCACCCGTACTGGGCGAGTGATGTGCAGGATGCGCGGGGTGCTGCTGCTGCTGCTGCTGATGATGCTGATGCTGCGGCGGCGGCTGCGGCTGTTGCGGATGGGCGGCGGGCGGTGGCGGCACTAGGCCAGGACTGCCAGCGGGCGAAGGTGTCTCGTCGCTGCTCAGATGATGTCCGCCTACTGCTCCAGCTCCTGCGGCAGCTCCTCCTCCTCCTTGCTTGCTATTGCTGTTACTTGTATTATTATTATTTGTGTGATTATTATTATTGTTATTATTGTTGTTGTTATTATTTGTGGTGTTATTATTATTGTTATTGTTGTTGGAGTTGCTGCTGCTGGTGTTGGTGGTGGTGTTGCTGCTGCTGTGGTTGCTCTGCGGCGATAGCTGACCACCACCACCCGTTGGCGATACGTGGGCGTTGCTACTATTATTATTGGTACCGCTGGGCGTGGCGCTGGTACCGCTTGAACTGTTGTTGGTGTTGTTGCCGCTGTTGTTGTTGTTGTTGTTGTTATTGTTGTTACCCGCCGTCAACAGCGAGGAGACGCTGAAGTCAGTGGGCCGTTGCGTTAGCTGCAGAAATGGATGATATGCCATCCCATTGGCGAACCTGGCGAATGGATCCTCAGCAGACTGATGAAGTAGCAGCTCCTGGACGTCGTATCTCATCACATAACCGTTCTACACAGAGAGGTGCGTCATGCAGAATCCAACTTATTTATATATATATTTTAAGTTATATATATATTCTCAGCAATATATTTCCCAGCTCTTCCTTCGGCTTCGATTTGATTTTTGTTAGTTTTTTGTTGTTGTTTTGTTGTTGTTTTGTTGTTCAGCAGGTACGATTTTTATTTTTTATTTTTCCGGGACACTCAAAAAGCACTTGCACTTGTTATCTTTTTTGTAATTTTTACTTTGTTTTTACTTCTTGGTTTTGTGGTTTGTTTCAAAAAAATTCTTTTTTATTTGCTAAAAAAATATATAAAACCAAAAGAGTTTGGGTTAAGATTGAGATTTTCCAGCACGGTTTTCAGTTTGTGTTGATTTTCTTTTAAATTAGTTTTTAAGGTTTTTTAACTTTAATTTAAAGTCTTAAAGTAATTGTTTCTAAGTATTATTAATTTAAGACAGTTTTAACTGTTTAATTTATTTCTAATCTAATGCTTTTAATTCTATTTTTGTGTTTCTGTCTTGTTTTCATCTTTATTTTAGTTGTAATATAGCCGCTTTAAATTGTTGTTGCTTAATTAAACAAAAAAAAAAAGGGGTGTGCTAAATAAAATATATTCCATTTACTGATAAAATCCTTTTCCTATTGAAACCTCCTTTCCTATTGGTTTTTCAAAGCCTTACAAACTTATTGTTTTGTTTTGTTCCGCTTTCTTCTCAACTTCTTCATAATTCCTATTGGTTTTGTAAATATGGCTATTTTCTAATTGGATTTTAAGCTTTGATTCCTTCCTGCTCCTTCTTTGCAACTTCTTAACTGTAACTGCGCTCTCTTTGGGTTCTTCTTTTTGGCTCGCTCACTCTCTTTGTTTACCGTTTGCTTTGGCGACGGCAAAACGCCACAACTTTGTTTCTTTGTTTTTCTTTTTGTTTTTTGCTTCTATTGTTATGCGTTTTGTCAAACTTCACTTAATAAAACTTCTTTTGCAGTTGCACTTTGTGTTTTGCTCCCCACATTTGGCCGCTTTTTTGGTCGCTTTTGTTTTTGTTTTCGTTTAGTTTTGCAATAGGGAAACCAAAAAAAAATATCTGGGGTATAGAATGGAGTACCGGTGCAAGGAGCGGGCGAAAGAACAAGGCGATGTAAGGAGTAGGCGACGACGAAGCAGGTGGGGAGGACGAGACGACGATGATGCTGGAGACACGACGACGAGACGATAAAAACCGGGGGGCGAACAACAAACGACGATAAACGACAACAACGACCGCGACCGCGACACGAATTTCACGCCGGCCGGTTCAACTCGACAACTCGGCGTTCGAAAACAAAATGAAACGGAAAAGAAAACGAAAAAATGAAACGATAAGATTTCCGAATATTCCGGTTTCCGCCGCGAGCAGGCGAGCCTTTAACAAAACATCGCCGGGACAAGCGTTTACACCGACATCAGCAGTGGCAGAGCGAGAGCGAAACTGAGCTCGGTTGGGCAAGTTGCGAATGTGTAAGGCCCACCGAGCGAACGGACGTCGGCGTCGCTGCTGCCGCGCCGGCTTACTCTCGCGCTCTCCCTCCCACCGCCGGGCTGCTGAGCGGGCGTGCAAGCGAGATGGCGAGCTCTCTCTCTCGACTGCTCAGTGCGAGCGAGAGAGAGCGAGTGGTGGCGACCCAGCGGAGTGTTGAGTTTCTCTCGGCGGCGGCACCAGACGAGTGAGTGAGCGAGCGAGCAAGTGAGAGCTGCGGGGTTCCAATAAGAAAACCAAAAACTTGGACCAAAAGTGTTGAGTTGACGCCTGCACGCGACTGTGTGCGAGAGTGTTACGTTGTTTGTGTGTGTGTGTGTAATGGGAAATGGCACCAACCAGCGGCGGCAGCGACGTCGCGTCACTGCAGCGTGTTAGAAGTAACAAGGCAGCTGACACCACTAAAGCAGCAGCAGAAGAAGAAGAGAAAGACGCTGACGAAGAAGGAGGTGGCAAAGGCGATGGTGGTAAAATGGAGTGGGAGTGGGAGAAGGCAGATAAAAGTAAGGGAAAAGAGCTGTCACAATAGGAAAATACGAAAACCAATCGGTGAATAAACTAGGGATATTTTAAAAATAAATACAACGAAATAAGATTAAATTGTTAAAAAACAAACCAGGATAATTATTTTATTTGCATTTTGTCTATTTTTAAAAAGAAAAACAAGGAATTAAGAGAAATAAATTATTCGGTTTTGTGAATAAAACTGATTTCGAAATTAATAATTAAAGAAAGAACTAAATATTTAATATAATTATCTAAATATTTTCGCAAAATAAATTTGGGAAATCTTTTTCTTTTAGCGTTAATATTATAATTTCACTATTTTTAATCCTAAAAAGTATAATATAAATATGTAAATAATAATATTTATAGAAAACTCCAAGAATACAAGAAAAAGAATGAGACACCGAAAGGAAAGTATCAGTAAAACAGAAGCCTCTGCCAAAAAGGAGAAGAAAAAACATAGCAGTAAATCACAGAGGTAGTGGTGGCGAAAGGGAACTCAAAGGGGGGTTGTACAGAGGCGGCGGCTGGATGTGGGGGCCCAGAATTGCAAAAGCGGCCAAGTTGACAAATGACGCGCAAGCGAAAAATGCGCTTCAATGGTCAAATGTTTGCTAAAGGGGGCGAAGTTGGGGCCTGGGGGGTGGCGGAGATAAATGCGCGAGGGGGGCCGACGGGCAGCGGGTGGCGGGTGTGGTGAGATAAATGGGTGAGGCGCTTTTTGGGTCGGCTTTTGGGGGTGGCGCTTCCCAGGCCACAGGGAGATAAAGCCGGCTGCGAGAAGCACTTTAAGGCACAGAAGTTGACCTACAATGACCTCCAGACAATCAAAAGGCACTGCTCGAAAAATCAAAATAGAGCAAATAGAAAAATAAGCCTATAAAAAGTCATAAATCAAAAGAAAATAAAAGATAAATGTGATGAAAATATAATAAAAATAAAATAAAGACTATAATAGTAACATTTAATATCATAATCAGTGCTAAAAAATTTTTTTAATTTTAAAATGCTTGATTTTATTAAATGAATAATAATAATAATCTAATAATATTCACACATGCTCCGAAAATATATTTAATTTTCAAAAGAAGAAAACCTAGTCGAAATTTGTTTTTAGTTTGTCTTTGAATTTTGTACATATGTAAATAAATTCAATAAAAATCTTCTTAAATTACCAAAAACGAGATAATATCATTTAATTTAGAATTTACCAAATTACTTAATAGGAAATACGAAAATTCACCGACTTATCCCGGCAACGCAACGGGGAATCCGCTGTGATTCTCCCGCTGGCCTGGTCACACTTACACTTACGTAACCTATTCCCACCCACACACGACCCTCCCTACCCTCTCCCCTAAAAAAAAGAAGAAAAATAAACGCTTGTTAGCCGCTTTGGCAGCTTTTATGCGTCCGAAATGTAAATGAAAAGATTTCCAGGGGATAACGGTAACGACCAGAGCGAAGCGACTCTGCCGCCGTTGCCAAAAGTTGCTTTTCGACGTTGCGAAAATTTTCGCAAGTGCGAAAAAGCAGAAGAGCAACAACGACGTCAACTCTGGCTGCGACGCTGGCAGCGACACCCGACACAGCCAACAGTCGGCAGCGACGCCGGCAGAGGTGTGTGACAAACTTGACGCTAAGTTAAGCGCAAACACCGCAGGTGCGAGCGGGATGGCAAAGCGTGCAAATGAAAGGCACAAGCTCAAGTCACACAAGCACACACAACCACTGAGACAGGGGCGAACTCACTCAACACAAAGAAGCGACGAAGCCAAAAAGCAAAAACGGCAACGCAAATGTATTTCGTCACACGTTGCCCCCCACACACACAAATACAGCGAAACAAAAAGGAGACAAAGAGCGAGCCGGCAATATGGCGGCTGGGCGTGTGTAAGAAAAAGACGACAAGCGACTTGCTGCTGCTGCTGTTGCTTCTTCTTCTTGTGTGACAAATTTAACCACAAACACACACACGAACATGCAGACACAGCACAGACACCCAGAGAGCGAGGAGCGAAGAGAGCGACACCTCAATGGCGGAACCTAATTCCACCACCACCACTGGGCCGTGAGCAAGCGGGATGCAAGATGAGGTGACAACATTTGTTTGTGTCTGCCAGCCAGCCTGCCACTGTATCGGTGTGTGTGTGCTTGTGGTGTGAAAAATTACAGCAAAGCAGCGACGTTTTTCGGTTCTTTGCCGCCGCCGCCACTCGCTTTGGTTGGCTTTTTTCGGCTCTCTTTTGGGTGAAGGCTCTTGTTGTTGTTCTTGTTCGAGTTCGATTGCGTTGGTATGAGTTCGAAGTGGCGATAAAGCAGAAGAAGCCGAGCAGCGAAGGCGGCGGCACAGTGAAGCAGAGGAGGAGGAGGAGGAGAGAACAGAAGAAGGATGCTGAGAGGTGAAAGGCGATTTAATTGGTGTTTCGGCTTTTCTTTTCATGAAGAAAGAGCTTGAAAAGCGAATATTCAAGACATCAATCTTAATTTCTCAGTTTAGATTAAACAAAATCATTAGTTGTAGCTAAGAAATATGTGTTTAATTATTTTAAGTAAAGCGAAAATTGAATTGGAATTTTGTTTATGTATTTTATTTAATCAGACTTTACCAATAAGATAAACCGGGCATTGACAGTCACGTAAAAACCCTTAGGATAAAGACCACAACTGACTAAACAATTTCCGGTCTTTGAATGCGTAGCATCTTTTGTGTGCAAGTCCTGGCGAGAATCCTTTGATGTTTTTGCGCCAAACTTTTGTTTGTAACCAATACAACGACAAGAGTGAATTGCGAAATGTAACACCAACACCAACACCAACACGGAAAGTCGGTCGAAAGTGAAAAAGGTGTTAATAAACAACCAACCAAAATGCCGAAATGCCTTTAGAAAATCTGAAGTTTTCGCTTCTCTCTTTCGCTCGCTTGGCCCCACTTCCTCGCTCTCGCTCTCTCTCGCTGGCTCTCCCTGGGTATTGATTCAAGCAAGTGTAGGTGTGTGTGGGAGAGAGCTTACATCACACAGCATCCTCTCGCTTGCGCTCTCTCCCTCTCTCGCTCTTTAATGGTGCGATTTCAAGTGATTTTTTTGTTGGCGCTTTGTAGCTAATTAAAAGTTTATGTGAACATACAAACACACACACACACAGACAGACAGACAGCAGTAGCAGTAGAGCTCATAATTATCAGAGGGAAAACTTTATTTGGCGGCATTTATTTCACTGGCTGCCTTTTGCCAGCTATCTGCCTCTCGCTCACAGCCGCCCCCAACTCACACTCACACCCACACCCGCTCTGTCTCCCTCTAGCTGCCTTGTTTATTTGCTTAACATGGTTTAGTTGCCTGTGTCTGTGTCTGCAACTGTTTGTCTTTCGTCTGTGTGGGTGTTCCTCTCGCAGCAAAATGTGTGTGTATGCTCCTCTTTCTCCCTTTGTGTGTGTCTGTGGAAATTTACGAGCGACGCGCGTTAAATTATCTAAATATGTTTGGGCCAAAAAGGTGACGACGAATGGGTTAACACTTTGAAATCTGCCCGCTTGTTTGTGTTGCGATCGTTACGCTCGTGGCGGCGCTTGGATGCCAGTGTTTAACCGTTATCCAGGAATATTCGTTATGTTTCTATGAGAAAAGGGATAATGGGGCGAGTATAAATTTGGGTAAATCAATTTTTAAAGTAGTTACACGTCGAATTTCTTAAAGTTTTAGGTTAATAAACAGAGAAAATATATAAATTAATAGTTAATTAATGCGTTAAATATGTAATTTAAACTTGGAACATTTATTTTCTCTAGAGATTTTATGAAATATATTAAGTTTCAGCAAATAATTGCCACCAAAAATAAGAAACCTCAAAATATAAAATAAATTTCTGAATAAAATGTTATTTTTTAAGATTTAAAAGTCCTTTAAAGGATATCCCATTCCCGGTGTTGCATTTTAACTAATTCGTAATTGCCCCAGGAGCAAAGATTAAGAAAATAACGAAAATTTTCGCTTGTTTTTCCAGCTCGACGTTCGCAGCAATCAATAAAATTAACATAATATTATGTGAAATATGTGTGCAAAGGAAAACAATAGAGTTTAGGGAGGATGAGCTGGACTGGCAGCCACCCAAAAAAAATTTGGGGGAAGTCTAAGCAGGAGGAGAGATGCCTTTGGAAGAGATGAGAAAAGCAAGTGTATAGTCTTATGTAAACAAGGGATACATACATGTAATCGAGTGTGGGTGTCCTCTATTTTCCGTGGAAATGGAGTCCAGCACACAAAAAAAAAATATATATATACCTAAGAAATCCCTAGGGATTTGAAAACACTTGTAACTAAGCTCAAAAGTATGCTATGATTACCAAAAAATGTAATTTCCAAACAGAATTAAATAGATTTTCGCTCTGTGCCGACCAAAGTTTGTTTATCCGAGTTATTTCTGTCCAT